GTTTTGCTGAATTGTTTAGATTTAGTTAATCTGAGGCGCGTTTGAATGTTATTTCTCGAGTAGCCGAGAGTTCGTCTTTTTCGGAACTCTTATCTCGAATTTTCCAGATGTTTAATGAGCTGGGCGTTTTCTTACATTCTTAATCAATGATCAAATCAAATAATCTATTGTCTCCCCTAAATTTCATTGTGTATGAGTATTATACGCAACTATAATATATAAATTTAGTTGTTAAAATAAGAATATTATTCAAATTTCTATTTTTGTTTATTTTTCTTGTTCGAATATTCAGTGACCAATGGTATTAATCGTATTCTATGTAAGAATAAATAATTAATTTGTGTAAGAATTTAAATATATTAATGCAGTTTGAGAATTTAATTGATAATGATGAGTGTAACGGCTATTTCCAAATGTTCAACGACGTGGGTTTTCCAGATGTCTTAATGACTTGTTTTCAAGAAGTCTTAGTGATTTGTTTTCGCCAGATGCTTAACGACTTGGAAAAAAAGAGATCTTACAATTTCAAACAAAATATTTTAATGTATTTTAATTTAATTGAAAATTTAATTGAACTTAGAGTTTTATCATGTCAAACAATCGAAGTACATTAATACTACTATTAATAAACCAGCAAATACTAAAAGAATCATTATTAGTAATACTCTTGATCCAGAATAAATGATTATCGAAAAAAATGAAAAGTAATTTACAATAATAAAATTATTCTATAATATATTTAACTTCTTATTTAGTTAATAAAAATATAACAATTAGATTTCAATTTAATAAAAAAGGAAATATAATATTAATATTTTAGTTATTTTCAGTAAAAAAAATAGTTTATGAAAATATTGGTTTTGGAACTTATTGATATAAATTTTATTTATTTTTTTGACAAAGCGGTTGCAGATAAACCCTCAGCAAGAATCCTCGCGTGCAGTGCCAGCGGACTTTCAGTAAAGAACCTCACGCATAGTGCCAGAACGCACAAAGAAGTTGCAGGTAAACTTTCAGCAAGGAATCTTACACACAGTGCCCGAGGACACGAAGCGATTGCAAGAAGAAATCAGCAAGTGTTTGCTTCTACGGGTCAGTGAAAGCAAAGGTTACAATAAGAGGCGTCCAGAGATTTATGATCTCTCATTTCTCCGGTAATAATCTAACACTAAGCGTACAACGTCAACAAAATCCGGAAATTTACAACCTCCTTACTATACATGTAGTGCATGCTAATATTACGTGGCAACAACCAAGAAACGGGAAGATTTCTGCGATTCTCAAAGTCCACGTAGAATAACTATAGTGTAATTGTACAATAAAACGCAATAAAGAAGCACGAAAAGCAGATGTGTTGAATACTGAATTGAAACACTACCGCTTTTACTTATCCACACTTTCTTCCCTCTAATTAACTGATGAATATTAACTAATCTTATATGTCTTGGTCCTTTGACCCGGATGAGTGGAATTCTAAACACCTACTTTTTTTTAATTATACGATGAGATTATCAATTTGAACGTTTAAATGCTGTCTTATATTTAATAGATTACTGTTCGTTTGGGTATTTACCATTATTGATTGTAATTTTTTTGTTATATGATTTATTTGCGTTTTAAGGTATGACTTAATAAAATTAAAATTAAAATAAAAGATGATCTAATAATAAATTTATTTATTATTTTATAATTTTGTTTTTTAAATAAAATTACCTGCTGTTTTTCCTTCTTGATTATCAAAAGCTCATGTTGAATCTTCAATTACTGAATCAATAATTTTAGCTAGAGTATTATAAAATTAAGGGGATATGGGTTGCATCGTGTTATAAAAAATATAATAAAAAGGGAAATTAGTTAAATATTTCATGCGAATGAATAATATCTCATCCTCCTGTTGACCATTTGTTTGATGAATAACCAAATATATACATGGGTAATAATAAGATTTAAAAATGAGGTCTTTGTTCGAACCTCTCTGATTTCCTGGCTTGAACTGCCAATGTTTCGATAGCTTTAATTTATGGCCCGCCCTAGCGGGGATTGGGAAGGAGTTAAATGGATTGGCTGTAGAAATACAGTATACGCTTCTTCAAAAAAAAAGATTTATTACAGTTACACTATTGTTTTGTTGGATTTATATGTTATGGAAAAATATACGCTATATTCAGTTACGTCACTGCAGTTGCTTTGAACTGATCTTGTGTTGAATAAGTTATCTACTCGAGATTCTTCTTAATGATGATGATGTTGATCTTGTAAGAATCAGTAATCTGATCAGTAACTGATCATGCACACTTCTTATTAGTGAGTGTGATTATTGCTATTAACAATGGCGTCATGCTAGTCTTGTAACGACTGGCAATAATTAAGCACAGACTTTGTTTACTCCCAGTGATGCAGTGGCCGTGACTGATCTTGTAATGACTAGGAATCAACAATTATTATGCACGCTCCTGATCAGGAGTTTATCTTATGTTGTCTGGCGTTTTCTTGACATGAAAGAGATAGGATAACACCTTTTAATTGCAGCACAGTAGAATTGATAAGTATTCCTTCTATCGGTTTGCGTAGCTTTACTGACCGACTAATCTTCATGGGTGAATAGCATGACTGACTGCGTCAATGACTGAAAGTCTACTGACGCAGCCCATGGTGCACTTGTCCTAAATAGCCTAGAAACAATGAGTACGACTGTGGTGCAAAGAACAATGAAAGTGATTGTGCACGTGTATCATTTCAAATGTACCAACTTTTCCGAGTCTCCAACGACTTATTAAATATAATAGATATAATAATTAGTTAATGGTCATAAGAGTATGAATGAATAGCGTGAGTGAATTATGTGGTGAATGTTTCGTCAATTGTTGTACGTGATGATGAGAATATGTGTACTCTCAGTAGTGTGGAGCGCGATCCCATCTCCTTGCAAGGCGAGTCGCTGTAGTAGTAGACGCGCACTGGACGGGCAAGTGAGACGATGCTGTCTTAGCCGCCGGTGTAGCACGAGTGCCGCTGCTGTCTGTGTAGTGGGGAGGACTTCGTGTTGTGTCACTGCTTATGTAGGCCTGAGAGCCTGTATTGGTGTGGTTGTAAAGAACTTCCGTGGTGCGTTGCTGCTTACGTAGGCGTGAGAGCCGATATAATTGTGGTAGTAAGGAAGGTCCGTGGTGCTTTGCTGCTTATGCAGGCGTGAGAGCCGATATAGTTGTGGTGTCACTATTAGCTCTTTAGACTACTCGGTGCTTGCGATATCTGACTTGGTAACGATTGCAGGTAGAATAGTGAGCCTGTCGTAGAGACTGCGTGATTAGTACTAATAAGGGAGATGCGCGTCAAGCACTGCTCTTAAATATTCTCGTATGAGCTTGCGACGCCGATAGTGGGCCGGTGTCTATTACTATGCCGATTATTATCGTGACGTCACTAGGATAGCGCCTTAAAGAGTTCATCGGCATTGTTAGTCGGATTTATAATTTAATATTCGAGCATTCTGCGTACTGAGATCTTCCGAATTCGCTGAATTGTATTCACATCGTAATGTATAGATGTTTATATCTCTCCCACTTTTGTATTCTGCCTTTAACTGCTTCAATTCGTAACAAGGACATATACTTTAATTTGATAAAAAAAAATTAAGTCTATATTTACATTATCATTATCTTTAGTATAATCATATAATATTATGTATTATATCTTATATATAATCTATTACGTATTAATGTTTAGTTTAATTAATTTATGTGAATATTGACTTATATGTAAATTAATTAGCTTTTGATAGATGTAAAGCTAATTATAAAGGCTAAATTGGGTAACATTTAACTTTATGATATTGACATTAAGATCAGATTTAATTTTATTATTTTGGTTTAATCGAGTACATTATTAATAAATTAATTTGATAAAATTAAAAAATAAACTTTTATTAAAAATATTAATTAATTTATAGATATAAATATATTTATTGATAATTTATTTAAGTTATTTATTTATATAGTTTGCATTCCATTAAGAATTGTGTCTGGGATCAGACTAAAAGCTTCCCTGAGATGTTGAGGGGAGGCTTGCTAGCAAGTGGAATGGACAATGCAATAATTCAACACTGGCTTTGTCTGAGTTGGTTTTCCTTTAACTGAATATAATGATATAATAAACAATCAGTGGTCTATTGAGATGAGATTGAATGAATGATACAATGAATAGGTGAGAGTTTCTTCAGGTAATATGAGTGATGATAATCTTGTAAGTGTATTCTTGATGTGGCGCGCAATTCTCCTACTCGTGGTTAGGACTCGCAGCGGTAGTGGGAGATGCGCTGATGAAGGGTAATGATGCCGTGAATAGTGTCACGCTGTAAAGGGGGAGTGTTGACGACGCCGCTGGCGCTACCGATAATCTGGATAGGCCTGAGTGGTGGCGTAGGTGTGTGACGCCAGTGATCAAGGGCAATGATGATGCCGTGAAGAGGATGCCGCCTGTGCCGCTACCGATAAGCTGGAGAGGCCTGAGTGGGGCGCTGGTGCGTGACGTCACTAGTGAGGAGGGAAAGTTGATGCCGCCGTTCCTGCTACCGATAATCTGGATAGGTCTGAGCGGTGGCGTAGGTGTGTGACGTCACTGATGAAGGGCAATGATGATGCCGTGAAGAGGATGTCGCCGTTGCCGCTACCGACAAGCTGGAGAGGCATGAGTGGTGGCGTTGGTGTGTGACGTCACTGATGAAGGGCAGTGATGCCGTGGTCTAGGTATTGCAGCTTATTTAGTTCACGGAGCCGTGTGTTAGTGATTCCTAAGAACGTGTGTAATAGCACAGCTTACGTGTGGAGTGGATTTCAGTGCATTGATGGCACATAAGAACGTGTGTAATAGCGTGACTTACGTCTAGTGAGGTCGATTCGTGTGGTGGTAGTAAGTGGAATGTGTATAGCTTACGTGTTAGTTCGAGACAATCTGTCTGTATTGGAGATGACCTCTGTGTTGACTTGTAGGTCGGCGATCCGATATAAGGAGAGCGTCAAGCGCGTCTCCTTAAATATTATAGTACAGGCTTGCGATTCCAGTGAATTCTAGATTGCTCTTGTCATGCTGATATTTGAAGTGACGTCACTAGAATATAGCCTTGGAGAGTTCGTCGGCCCTTGTTAGTCGAAATTGTAATGTAACTTTGACTATTTGAGTATTGAAATTTCCCGATTTCGGAGAATCGTGATTACGACTTGGCGCGCAATATTTTGACCTCAGCAGATGTCTTTACCTCGCCCACATTGTTTACCGCGTAAAATGCTGTAATCCGTAACAAAGGTAAGAATTATTTTTTGTTTAATTTGAGATTATTTAATTGATCAAGATAGGCTAATAGTTCAGTATTATAGAATTAAATTTAATGAGACATATTGATGTGATAAATCATCATTCAATAGTTAGGAAATATAATTTAATAAAGTATTATACTATTTAAGTATTTAATTCTTTTTTATTCTTATTTGGATCAATAATGGTTGCATATTATGATTTAGGTTATATTTTAATAATTTTGTCTGTAATAAGAAAATTGGCAATCCCTCATTTTTATATATATTATTGAATTTTATAAAATTGATTTGAAAAAAAAAAGTTTTTAATAACTTTTCAAAAAATGATTCCCATATTAAAAATTAATAATATTGTTCGACATTGCGAGACCTTTTTTCAATGCAATATAACATTTGGTAAAACAACATCGTCAAATTTGTGTTTAGATTTCAAAACTTTCTTGCTCGCAACTATCTAGCAATAGTGTCATCAAACATCTGCAGAAACAATACAATAAACACGGAAAAACCCACTCAGTTAGGCATATGTACGAATTCACTCCGCTCAGTAATTACTTCAGGCATTATATCCAGCGACCCTACGAGGACCTATCCCCCCTTCTCGCTGTCAGCAAGTTGTCATGCTGCCGCCAGATGCATCAGCGGAAACGAGAGGTCTTCTTACCATGAAGACCAAGAGACGTCTAGGCCTTTAATTAACTGTGAAGCCACAAGAGGCGCTGCCCACGCTCTGTAAGAGAGAAGTCTGTGATTGGACGAAAAATAAGGAAAGGGGTTCAAGTGAAGTTCATGGTCAGCAAATGTATTTAAGGGGCAAATTTTTCAATATTCATCACTTTGATATAGTTCTTATTCAAATAAGTGTCAAGTGGAAGTCCATTAACGCTGTCAAGGGAACTGCGATCACACGTCCTAGAATAACGACGACATACACCAGTATGTCCATTAACGCAGTTCAAGAAAACGTCGCTACATGTTCAAAGGAGTAACGACAATCCGCATATCAGAGTCCAGAGACGAGTCAACGATTAGTCTTCATAAGTAGTATTACTACAATAATTACATACTCTGAGATTCAGAGATTATGGCATCGACAAGCAACTAAGGACGCAGAGGCTCTCCCCAGAGCAACAGTGCGGAATACATTCGAAACGCGTCGCCAAGGTCGCACCCGCTAAAGGGCGTCTTGTAGGCAAACCCTCACCTTAGTTCAAGTTCAGACGCTTTTGAACTTAAGCAAAAAACAGCGTGAGTGTCCATGAATCAAACTTCGCACCATTCTGCCCTCAAATTCAACCATCACGCTGCATAGATGATTATACATTAATGCACCACAAGAATTATTTTAATAATTAATAATAGTAATAATAGTCAACCTTGTCATCAATACATAACAGAATAAACAGCACATACATCAGTTATATTTATATTGTATTTTATAAAATTTTAATTTGTTAATTATAAAATTAATTGTTCAAAAAGGCAAATAATTTTTCATTAAATTAACTTTTTTATATATTTATGGAATTAAAAAAACATTAAGTTAATAATAAGTTAAAACAATTAGCTAATTCAGTTATTAAATAATATAATTATTTGTATTTCGTAGAACTAATATCAAGCTAAATTATTAATGAAGTGTTTTATTTGATTAATATTATTATTTCTTAGTAATATGTTTGATTTGAGTAATCAACTATAAATTTAATTAAAGGAAAAATTCCTTGTTACTGTATTCGAGTTATATAAATATCATGAAATATGCGATTTAATATTTTAATTAAATTATTAAATGCAATGCAATTATATAATCATGCTGATACTTTATTGATTCTATTTGTCAAATTCACGAACGAATTAAAAATATTTTAATATTGAATGTCAAAAATAATCAGAATTAAAAAAAACTATAGAAAATGGGAATCAATGTTTTTTAAAAGCATTAACCCACATTCAAAGAGATTAGTTTTTCAAAATTTTAATTTTTTTCAATAAAATAAAAACATTTTAATTATGAAATAGCTAACAATTAATATGATCTCTATTATTATTATTATTAATATTGGTATTGTAATTTTTTTTAATGGAAATTAAACATAAGGTTTTATATTCATAATTAAGTACCTGATAAAAGAGAATATTTAGTTATTATAACATATTTAACTTAAATTATCTATATCTAATTATTTTAATTATTTACAATAGTTTTTATTGCACTAAACAATTCATTTCAATAAAAAAAATATTTTTTTTATTTTGAAATTTAATTAAGAAAAAAAGTCAAAAATTTTGATTTATTCAATTTAAATTTATGAATTCTATGCAAGTATGGTATACAGTTTTATGTATTGTCGGTAAAATTAATGTTTCAATTACCAAATAAATATATAATTGTATCCATATGTCCTCGTGATATAGTTATAATAAAAACATATTTTTTAATTTTATAGGATGTCGGTGGGCTTCTACTTCCAACAATTAGTTTACGTAGAACTCCTCTATATGTGACGTCTATTTTCAATACGAATGCTTCAGAATCTTTAAAGAATCACATTACAGATATAATAGACTTTTTAATGGACGTGCATGCGTCAGTAAAAATCAAGGTAAAAAAAAATATTGCTTGGATACAAATTAACTAATGTACTTATAATTCAAAGAAAGATTTTACTTATTAAAAATTTTCATGATTAATAGTTGTTTTTCAATTTTTATGTAAATAGTTATTCTTAATTGTTTAATTAAAAAATATAAAATTTCTATGTAATACATTCATTTTAAATATAGTTTCATCATTCTAATTTATTTCATAAATATCGGCTAAATACGTGTTTGATTTTCTGGCTCGAAGTGCCAAGTTCGATAGTTCTGTTAATTTGCGAATCGTCTTAGCGATGCTTAGGTAAGGACTTAAGTGGAAGGGCTGTAAATATGTACAGTGTGTGAAAACTTCATTAAAACATCGGTTATCATGATTTTATTGACAATTACATTATTGTTGATTCTGAATTCACTTCTTTTGGGAGAGTGACAATTATGTTCTATCACAAGATGGATTGCATCGATGTCCATCCTTAGATTGGCTAGCACGTAATATATTAATTTCGAAAAGTAGTTCTGCTGCTAACTCTAATCTTGGTATTGGGATTTTCTTAAGGGGTGCCACTTCCGTCTCAGAACATACCAGTATAGTTATAGCGTTATTTGAGTTATGAATGGCTATGTATGTGGCTGCTGACATTGCATATTGTGTTCTGACAATCTGTTGCTGTTAGAAGGCGCCTTGAATAAACAGTGATTTGAAATAATTTTACTACATAAATATCGATAGCTATTATCTTTCAAAATAACTTTATGGTCTTTAGAAATCATTTTATTTCAAAATATAATTGTTAAGAATTAACTAAGAGACCACTAGATGTTATGTGAGAAAATGCGTGGGCAAGTGGAAGGGTTCGTGCATTGATTCAATAGTCAACACATATGTTTCTCATTGCTATTAATTTCGTCCATTTTCCAAATACAGGGATGATTATTGTTGATGAAGTTACAGATGAACCTTTGTTACACTTTGGCGATTGGAACATAGTGTTAGTGTGCACTTCGTTTGGAGGTAGGAGGTTCTTAGGTTCCTGATTCTCGTGACGTGGTGCCCTTGATGCTAGGTTACTCTGAGAAAATGGAGAGGTTGTAAAGCTTTTGCCATTTCTTCGAGTCGTGCCACGTGGGGAAACGGTGACTGCATCGTACGTTTTGGCACGAACTGCAAATTCCTCTTATAAGTAAGTCGTGCTCATGGCACGAGCCTTAAAATAGAGGAAGGATCCACACGGTATTACATAGAGTGGTGCGAAGTAGGCTTCATGCGTTATGAGCATAAGCGAGAATACCTTTAAATAAGTAAGTCGTGTGAGTGAACACAAGCCTTGAAATAAAGATAGAACTGATATCTTTAAATAAGAGAGTCGTATACGTGCGTACAAGTCTTCAAATAGAGCGAAAATTTCCTTAGGTATGGTGTGTGGAAATAAAAGGAAATTGTAGCATTTATCTTGAATTGATCTTAAACTTTGAAGTATGCTGTAGAGCCTGGCAACTGGAGATATCGTGAGAGATTGGTGGCGAAGTATCTGGATTGAAAAGCTTATTAGCGAAGCTTGTCAAGAGGAAAATTCCTTGATTGTGAGTCGTGCGCCTTGGCGCAAATTACAAATTCCTCTAAATAAGTGAGTCGTACGCGGCGGCACGATGCGAATTAGGCTTCATGCATGATGAGCATGAGCTTATTAAATTAATTGACAATATTAGTAATGAAACTACACTTCAGACTCAGCTGATTAACTCTTCTTTTTCTTTTCTCCTTGAGCACGAGAGGGTTTTAGTTGGATCGGCAAGGTGGGCGCTGAATGACGCGATTATAGGCTTCGTACGCGTGAGGCACAAGCGAGGTTTTCCTTTGGACACAGGCATTGAAGTTAATTAGGATAATATTGCGTTTACCTTTGAAATGGCTTTAGCCCTGAAGTATGTTCGATGAACTGGCTGCTGGAGACATATTGCGTTGAAGATGGTGGCTATGGCGCCGTGGATTTACGAGATTACAAACGAAGACGTGGATTCGGACTCAGCTGAGGAGACGACTCCTGTCTTGGTGACTTCAACATGAGTGAGTGAGTGAGTGAGTGAGCGGGTGAGGTTGACTGAGTGACTGGGTGACTGAGCGTCTGAGTATTGTGTTTTTTCCTCTTAAATAGTTTACTGACCCTGGTATCCACTTGGGATTCCTTCCATTTTCTCATATCTAATCGGAAAGCTTACCGATTCATGGGTGAGAGCACTGCCTCTCGTGGCGTATTTTTCAGTCAAGAAATTAATTCTCGAAAAGGTCTTAATGTTGGGTGACGCGATCGGCTCGACAAAACTCTAACATCTGGCTTTTCTAAATGTTTTATTAGTAGAAATATTCAGGAGTCGACCGACTAGTTAATCCTTTCAGGTACGCAAGATGTTTCAACGACTTAAAAATGTTTTCGCAATCTCAAACAACAATTATATTCAAAACAAAACAGAAAAATGTATTAGAGTGAAGTACAAGGTAATAATTCGTGGTTGAATTCATGCTATATTAAAATAATCTATAGTTTTATACAGACAATTAATAATTTTTTAGAAATAATTGATTAATGTAATTTCAATTTCTTGTAAACTACAAGTGGATGCTTAAAAGTACTTGTCAGGGATCAGACTAAAAGCTTCCCTGAGATGTTGAGGGGAGGCTTGCTAGCAAGTGGAATAGACAATGCAATAATTCAACACTGCCTTTGTCTGAGTTGGTTTTACTTTAATTGAATATAATGATATAATAAACAATCAGTGGTCTATTGAGATGAGATTGAATAAATGATACAATGAATAGGTGAGAGTTTCTTCAGGTAATATGAGTGATGATAATCTTGTAAGTGTATTCTTGATGTGGCGCGTAATTCTCCTACTCGTGGTTAGGACTCGCAGCGGTAGTGGGAGATGCGCTGATGAAGGGTAATGATACCGTAAATAGTATCACGCTGTAAAGGGGGAGCGTTGACGACGCCGCTGGCGCTACCGATAATCTGGATAGGCCTGAGTGGTGGCGTAGGTGTGTGACGTCACTGATGAAGGGCAATGATGATGCCGTGAAGAGGATGCCGCCGGTGCCGCTACCGATAAGCTGGAGAAGCCTGAGTGGGGCGCTGGTGCGTGACGTCACTGGACGACGCCGCTGGCGCTACCGATAATCTGGATAGGCCTGAGTGGTGGCGTAGGTGTGTGACGTCACTGATGAAGGGCAATGATGATGCCGTAAAGAGGAAGCCGCCGGTGCCGCTACCGATAAGCTGGAGAGGCCTGGGTGGTGGCGTTGGTGTGTGACGTCACTGATGATGGGCAATGATGCCGTGGTCTAGGTATTGCTGCTTACTTAGTTCACAGAGCCGTGTGTTAGTGATTCGTAAGAAGGTGTGTAATAGCGCAGCTTACGTGTGGAGTCGTTCTCGGTGCATTGATGGTACGTAAGGACGTGTGTAATAGCGTGACTTACGTGTAGTGAGTTCGATCCATGTGATGGTATTGGGAGACTATCTCTGTAGGTGGAGGCGGTCTGTGTGAATTGAAGGTGATCTCTGTGCAAGTGGCGTTGACTTGTAGGACAGTGATTTGTGTGAATTAAAGGTAATCTCTGTGTAAATGGCGTTGACTTGTAGAACGGCGATTTGTGTGAATTGAAGGCGATCTCTGTGTAAATGGCGTTGACTTGTAGAACGGCGATTTGTGTGAATTGAAGGCGATCTCTGTGTAAATGGCGTTGACTTGTAGAACGGCGATATGATCTTCGAGCGTCAAGCGCGTCTCCTTAAATATTATCGTACAGGCTTGCGATTCCAATGAATTCTAGATTGCCCTTGTCATGCCGATAGTTGATGTGACGTCACTAGAATCTAGCCTTGGAGAGTTCGTCGGCCCTTGTTAGTCGTAATTGTAATGTATCTTTGACTATTTGAGTATTGAATTTTCCCGATTTCGGAGAATCGTGATTACGACTGGGCGCGTAATGTTTTAACCTAAACAAATGTCTTTACGTCTCCCACTTTGTTTACCGCCTAAAATGCTGCAATCCGTAACAGTACTATAAGTGAAAATACAATTATTGTAATATTATTCTGTTTTTTTTTAATTTGAACCTTTAGAATTAATACTTTAACTTAATATCAAAAATTTTCTATAATAATTTTTGTTTTTTAAATTATAACTATACTACTTGTAATCTTACAAAAATATTTTGTTACATTGAACTGTGTATATAGAATATTTCATAAATATTAGTTAATAATTGTTTATTGTAAAAACATAACGGGGAGGTACGTATTAAACTATAAGAAAATTTATATATTATTTGCTGTACTTTTAAATTAAACAAAATTAACTATTTTTTTATTTAAATTAACTAAAAATTAAACAAATTATACTAAGAGTAAATCAAAGCTTATTAACAAATAAAATGTGAAAATACCTAATGATATGTACACATTCTTTTCTGCATAATATTTATGAAGCCATTTTTGAAAATAGTTTAATTATCATATGTATATATGCACAGAAAAATAGGAAGAAAAATTTATTTACATATTAGTTTTAAATATTTATACTTATAAATAAGGATAAATTTAATTAACGTAACATTAACTATTAGAGTCATTCAATTGGAATTCAAAATGGTTTAAATGAAGATACTCTTAATGGTCAACTAAAATGTGGTTTTGCTCAATATATAGCATTAGAAATTGGTAAAGGCAATTCACGTGAAAATCGTGCTATATCTCGTTATTTACCTTGGCTCTACACTACTTCATCAACACCGCAATGGTAATATTTATTATTTTTAGTTTTACAGATATAGAATAAAAACTTACATAATTTTGAATAATATAATATCTATTACTTGCATTCGCATTAACTATCAAATAATTTTAAGGGTGAATATAAATTATACATAAATATTTATATAATTTTAATGATAGTGATCATTAATATTACAATTATAGAGAAATTGTCAATTTCTATTATATTAATTATATTAAATATGCAAAGTTCGACGACTTTTATATAATAAAAGTATTTATATATTCAAGATTACTATTTAACTTATATATTGTTTAATTTATTGTTCTAGGTTTTAAACCCTTGTGTCTTATTTACTTTCAATATGTTATATCTATTTTATGTACTTATTTTACATAATAGTACTATTTTATATTTTAGAAAATTGAAACTATGTCTGAGAAAGCAAGGTTAAATCTCCACCAAAAACCTATTCTTTACCACCAATAGTTTCACTCCTATTTGTTATTGGTAAAAATATCAGATAATGACCATAACTAATTTTCTAATATATTTAATCAATTGGAGGGTTGAATTTCTTTGCAAGATTATTATTTTAAGTATTTGAGTAAAAAATTCTTTTGAAAATGAATATAATTAATATATTAATTAACACACTTGAATTAAAATAAAGTTATTTAGAAGTTCACATATTAATGTATGAATTTTTCTTTAACTGAAATCGATAACAAAACATGGCTGCAGCTAAAATGAATCCTACAAATTAATTCGCCAAATCTGTCCATATAAATTACACTTTAATAGAACAAATAATAAATTAACATACCTATTTCTTATCAAATAAGTATCAAATTTTTTAATTCTAAAATTAGATTAATTTTTTTATTTAAATAGTTTAATTAAAACTTTGATTTGTGGGATCAAGAATATATTAATTGAGTTATATTTTTAATATATATGTAAAATTTATTTTATTGTATTATTTGAATTAATATAATCGAATAAGTATTTTAAAATAAAAATATGCAGATAAGCATATTAGGTAATATAAAATGAAGAAATTGTATAAATAAGAGGGTTGTGATTAATGACTGGTAGAACGCAATCAATTATTTATTTCGATTACTAAAAGTTATTTTATATCAACAAATTGAAGTTTAAATATTTTTAATTTATTTGTGAGTGTTTAAAACTGTTTAATTTCTTGGCTCGAACTACTAATGTTTCGATAGCTTTAATTTACTGCCTGCCCTAGCGTGTACTGGGAAGAAGTTAAGTGGATGTTAACGTTTTCACACAAACCCGTCAACTACGTAAGCAGCAACATAACTAACATACACCAATACCGCAAACTACCTATATCACGGTATACAGTACGAGTGAACCTCCCACTCCGTCAAGCAGTGACGTCACACGGACATCCTTCCCTCATCAGACTACAACAACGCTCATCCTACGCCAGCGGCTAAGGCGGCCCCAACTCGCTGCCCTTACCAGCGCGAGTCTCCCACTACTACTACGAATTCATAAGGAGAAGGAGAATCAAGCTCCAGGCTATCAAAAATACACTTACAAAATCTATCTATCGTCACTAATATTCATTGTATCATATATTCATTTCGCCATCCATATATCACTGACTATATTATATTTATTATATTCAATAAAGCGAAAGACACTACACTCTAAAGGCAGTATTGAATTATTGCATTGCCTCTTCCACTTGCCAGCAAGCCTCCATCCACCATCACAGAGAGGCTTTTAGTCTGATCCCAGACAATTTGGTCACGTCATTGACACGTTTTCTCCAACATAACACCTAGTGGTTTTTAGTCTAATTCTAAGCAATTGTATTAATTCGTTCTTATGGAAGAAATATAGTAAAAAGTTCAAATTTAATAAGAATGATAACTATAATAATTTGAGGATTTTTTAGGGGCTTAATAATAATATTATTTATAATAGTAAGACATGGATTATGCTTATCAGCTTTATGTGTGATTGTAAATGATTTTTATGAACGAATAAGTTTTTGTAATTTATTAATAAGCAAAAGTTTTTTTTATTTATTATCTTCACTTTGGTGGTTACCACATATGTTGGTTAATTTTTGTAGAATTAATATATCAGCTGTCATTTCATGAAATTTAATTAGTGAAATTATAATTATCTGTCATTTATTATCAAAACAAATTATAATTTTGTTAAATTTGGAGTATTTTCTAACGCGGTTTACAGATTATATTAATTTATTTACAAAGTTTATGAAAAATTAAAAAGATTGTTAACAAATACATATTCAAATAATTTTAATAATTTTATTGTAATAATTTTAGATTAGATTCCATTAGATTATTTTTTATTTAATTAGTTTAAGGAAAAAATTTTGTTTTGTTGTATCAATAATATATATTTGTTATATTTTAAATATATTTATAAATAAGTTTTATTATATTATTTAAGTAGGTTTATATTTTTATTAGTTTGTTTTTTTCTATATTGATTAGATAAATGTTATGTTTATTAAAAAATTGTTATTTTTTTTAATGTTATATTTTATATTAAATAGGATAAGTATTAATATATTTATGTATCCTAATTGACTAAGAATAATATTTATATTTATTATTATATTGAATTTATAAATTATTATATAATAGTATACGGGATATATAAATAATCTTTACGAGATCAGCAATCACATCGTCACTATCAACACGTAGCAACTACATCGTTGTGGTTGAACATAGTTCATACTCTCCTATGAGAAGTGAATTCAACTCATCATTAATGTAATTGTCATTAAACCATAACAAATCATATTTAACGAAGTTTGCACACACTGTATATCTCAACGGCCCTTCCACTTAAGTCCTTACCTAAGCATTCGCTAAGATGGGCAATAAATTAAATTGAACTATCGAACATTAGCCCTTCGAGCCAGGAAATCGAACAATATATTTATGATTATTTCAAGTATTATTAAATAATGCATACGATCTGATATATTGTATAAGTAATAATATTTAATTTTTTAGATATTTTCAAAAAATTATTATTTTTTTATTGCAGTACTCGTGAATATTTGGATTATGTAAGCCATATACGTCTACTTTCTTGGATACTACTCGGTTCATTAACTCATACAGTAGCTATAATTAGAAATAACCTTACTCAATCACATTGTTTACCTCTATCAAGTGCTCTACCGATTCCACAAGAAGCATCTTGTCATATCGCCGATCATGTCCAAGTAGTTTTATCTGCATTTCCTGATCAATATAAATCTTCAGTAGCTAACATATCATCTGTATTTCATGTTTTTAATCTTTGTCAGGTATTAAAAAATTAGTATTAATTGATAGTTTTAAAATTTATTGTTCTTTTCATAAAATATTGTAGCTATGGACATTGTATTTGGAAGAATATTCTAATGACAGTATTTCAAATATCGAAAATTATAATATTACTAATAATATTTTATTGGAATTTTGGGGGAAAATAACACCTAATATTCTTCAATTAATATCATATTCAAAACTTGTAAGTATAAATGGTATTTTATCAATAAATAAACAATTGAAATTAAAAACATTTCTATAAATATTCATCTTTCAAAATAAAATTTAATAATTTCATGAAATATTATACATTAGAATATTAATTTATTAAACACTTTTTTGACTGTATTTTAAAAATATTTCTACTAATTGAAATATTACCTCAATTTTTAATTTTTTCAATTTTTAAATTATATTGTAAACTTAACCTTATTAATTCATTGATTTTTTTCTATATTCCTTTCTATAAAATAAAATTATTAGAATTTTTCTAATATTTTCTTTTAATATTTTCTGATATTTAATATAATTTATATTTCATTAAATATTTTATCAGATTGTATATTTTAAGAATATTATAAAAGAAATTATAAAAGATTTAGACTATGGCCACCAGTATTTGGTTTATTTTACAACTATAATATAATGATTTTACATTGATTATGAGAATCTTTGTCGTTTCTTGGCTGTTGCCATCTGATGTCAGCATGCGTTACTTGTAGAGGTAGGGAGTCGTAAATCTCTGAATCCTATTGATGCAGTACGCTTGGTGGTGAAGTACTACACTGGGAAGTGAGAGGTCGTTACTAGAGTCTCCTGACACTTCTTCGTGTAGTGCTTCGTGGTGGTAACTTGCTTACTGATCTCCTCCAAGCTGTCTTGTGGTGTGGACCGGTGATAAAGGCCTGCAACTGCTCTGGTCACTGTGTATAAGATTCTGCTGAGTATGAAGATGTTGAGTGTACCTGTTCGGGATTGATGCAGTCCCTGAATTTCAAACAAAAGAAAGGTTATACGCGCTGTCCGGCGTACAGCATGTGCGCCTAGACTGGCACGCACGTGCGGACCGGGACGCGCACTCGAGCGAATGTTTACAAACAAAACTCGGCAAGTCCGAGCAAGTTTTACGATCCGAAATATAATATACTATAGAGTCACCCAAGGGTATTACTCCTACTCTTCTCTCGTCGAACATTCTCGAACGCCTCGTGTACGAATTAGTGTAACAACGACGATGCCTTGTTGCCAGCTAAGTGAGCCGCCGCGTAGCTATATAAAGGACGTACGCGGCGCGCCTCACCCTCTTGCTGAAGATACCTCTCGCTGAAAATCTCTCTTACTGAAGATACCCCTCACTGAAAATCTCTCTTGCTGAAAGCTTCTTGCTTGCTGACCGGCTCCTTTGCCGAACCACCCACGCTCAACTGCGCTTGCGGCTAACATCTTGCCATGACCCGACAGCAGTGACATCGACCATAGTGGACCGATCTAACCATCTACCAGTAGAAGCCATGGCACACAGGTCTCGATCTGCCCTCAGTAGGACTGCCATGGAACGGTCGGTATTTTCAGCAGAGTCGCCACGGAACGACCAAGCCCTCGGTTCGTGCGCGTATTCAAAAGGATCATTGTAATATCACTTCACGCTCACTCAAGTGTAATTGCTGCTCGGTGTTTTAGTATACTGTGAAGACGACACGTGGTCATATTTTCGGCAGCATAGTTAAGAATACACGTGTGCATAAGAATAAGAAATCGGCAGATTAAATAGTGATTAGAGTGAAGCTAATGGAATAGTAATCAAAGGAAACATTAATTAAACAGCAATCAACAGACTTTGTCAACACCTTACCAGGTACCTATTTTTATATTCATAAATGAACTAGTCACATCTAGCATCCCCTGACGCAGTCGATAGGTGATTATCACGTGGTCGTGCATGCCTGAAATAGTCACTCGGTGATGAGCACGTGGTCGTACATATCCTGAAATAGTCACCAGGTGATGAGTGCGTGGTCGTGCATTCTTTCAAATAGTCACCATGTGACGAGCACGTAGTCGTGCATTTTTTAAATAGTCGACTCAATTCAATGACCCAACAAGTCAAGCCCAGACTTCAGTATATAGACTGATCAACTATAAGGACATTTTCAAGAAATCCTTAAGATTTCTAAGGTTTATAATAAATGATACTTGTGTGTGACTAGCTCTTCTACCATTTCCTTAAATAATTAAAGACACAATTGATTACTTAATAAATTCCATTAAACATCTTACACTATATCAAGTATAGTTATTCATACAACAAGCATACTTGATTCAACTATCATCTTCTCATGCTACCTCACAAGCATGATTGATTGACGACATCAGCTGATATTTAAAACATCAGCATTACCTCAACTTCAAGACACAGTAAATCCATAGCATCTACAATTATTCAAGAATACAAGAATGCACCCTCACAACTTCAATAGAATTATTTCTCTCTACATCAAAGTACAATATTATTATAATCATTTACAATAATAAACATTGTTTTACTAAATACACGATATTTTTCAGCCTTATCACTTATTATTTCCTTTGAAGTTATGCTGACGAGAGACTAATCCATTGAACTATTGAAATGGCAGTTCGAGCCATAATCTAACCCTTTAAAATCGAACAATACATTTCGTAGTAGCTCTGCTGAGTGTGTGTACGATTCCACGTAGTATGTGAATAGGCTGAACAGTTTCGTACTCATACTGTATATGAGACTCGGTTTCGGCTGTATAGCTCATAGTTGACTAGTGCATATTTTGTGGCACGCTTGCCTTAAATATCCACGCGGCGGCTTTATTAGCTGACAATAAGGAGGCGATTGTGGTTCTTGAACCAATTGATGCCATTGTTGTACTAGAAATAAAATTTCACATAGTTGGAGTTTTCCATGAACTGATTGCCGTTGTGGTTTTTTCCCGAAATTATAATATTCTAGAGATCTCGAAATTTCGAACAAAATTACATTCAAGACTTTTCTCTTTTATACGCATACATATAATATGTATAAAAGAAATTTGTATATAAACAGTTTTACATAATTTTTGTAGTAAATATACAGTATGTTAATAGATATTTACTTATTTTCACCAACTCTATATAACCATGTATATATAATAAATAATAAATAATAAATATAATAAATAATGATTATTGGGAAAGCACTTATAAATTGTAAATTGAAAAACCTATTATCATTCTAGACTGAAAAAGATTAGTTAAAACTACAACATTAGATTAAAAAATCAATCGCATAATGAAATGAACATCTTACTTCATAATTTATAATAATGGTAATCATACAGATAAATTAATTTCTATACACAGAAAATTTTTAATAGTCAATTGTGACTTTGATCGAGTTAATTATGGAATTGACGATAGTAAGCACTTTTTAATAGATACTTATTTGTTCATGAATGTATGAAATCTTTCACTCAAATTATGCAATTAAATTTTAATAATATAACACATTGCTTCAATCTCAAGATTGATGGATATTTAAGGCCTTAACATGATTAATAATTGCCCTAAAAAAATATTTTATAAATAATGATCATAAATTTCTTCAATAATAATGTACTATTATCTACTATGAATGTCCTTCATAGTTCAGCATCTGCACTATAAACTGATAATGTTATTGCTCTATAGTATTTTATAGAATTTTTATATTTTACAATGTTTTAATCTTTGGAATTCCAGCCACGAGTATGATCGCAGATACGGTGGGTTGATTAGACCGTACCACCGGTTTAATGGTGATGGGGGGGGGGTAGGTTAATGCATCGATTTAGAGTAAACACAATTGATTTTAGTAACATTTATTTAAGCGGTATTTACAGTGGTGGTTGGTGTTACTGATCTTAGTGAGAATTGTTGAGTTCGTAGTGATTAGGCAGTTGACCATGAGCTATAGAACATCGTCTCTGGGTGTACATCGTGTACTAGGCACGCGGTTTAGTACCTATTTTGAAGGAGCCTCTCCTGTGCGAGAGTCATGTGTCATATGAGTCAAGGCTAGAATTGTACTGGGCGTTATTCGGCTCGCGACTGCTTAGACGTTTGAGTCGACGCTCGAATTGTACTGAGCGATATTCGGCTCGCGACTACTTAGGCGTTTAAGTCGACGCTAGAATTGTACTAAGCAGTATTCGGCTCGTAAAGGTAGTGGGGATTATTACGGATTGTCGACGCCCTCTTTTGTGGTTTGATCAGAACAAATTCGTTGCGGCGTGATACTGTTTCACAGTGATAATAGTTTAGCGGGGACCACAAATCAGTATCGGCGCCCTCTTTAGCGGTCTAATAAGAATCAAGTCGCATAGGCTTAACTGATAGTGTAGACGTGGGCCACGAAAGTTACGAGTAGTGTAAATTCCAGTCTATGTCGTCGTCCTCAATGCGGTCTGACTAGCATTACGTTGCGGAGGACGCACCAATAGCTAGCCAGCAATAATAGAATAATCAATATAAACAAATGAATATACCTTGCACGGATTCCCTTAGACGAGTTCAATTTTCACTGGTTGACTGGCACTAATTTCACTTGAGTTATTCAACAAGACTGATTTTCTTCTCCATTCGTTGCTTCTTAAATATGATTGCTTACATTTAGCGTTGTGAATTCTTACAAGTTCTAGTGAATTCTCTGAAAGCAAGCTTTAGTACGTTCGAGAAGCTTCTTTTGTTGCTATGCGGACAAAGTGCGCGGCTATATTTCCAGTGAATTTTTCGTAACGTAAAATTCAAATATTGCGCCTTAATCTAAATATTTTATAGTATTTGATAGTATGCTTTATAGTATTTTAAATGTGATTTACATGAATATGAACCGAGTAAATTTAAATAAAAGCTTCAAATATGAAATCTGAAACAATTTATAAACAAACATTTATTATGATCGCGGAAACAAAAATAGTTATAAATTTGATATAAAAACCTTGTGCGATGCTTTCATGAAATTCAAAATATAAATAAATATTGGTATGGTTACGATACAAGCAAATGAAATTGAAGATGCAGAAATGTGAGCTATTTGCTTTTTCAAGTAGTTAACTCTATACATAATGCATATAGTGCGATAATAAATAATTCCTAGCAAGATTATGCTTTTGTAGAGCCGTAAAAGTCGTTGCTTGATAAGCGTCATACTATTACAATCATTGTTAAGAATCCATATATATATATATTACAAATTTTAATTTGTGTTCTATAAATTAACACTAAAAGTAAGTCTACAGAGTTAAGAAAACATTGATGCATAGCTCAATCGATTAAAAATAGAAGCGGATTATTTTTATTTAATGAAATACTTCTTTATTTGAGATAAGTAAATAAATTTAATAAGAAATTTTCAATCATAGTTCAGTTTTCTTGTTAACAATTTTCTTATACAATAAATCTGTGTAATACACTTATAAATATAATTTATCTATATTATCGTTTAATTAATCCAGTCAGAGTTTTGTACCAAGATACATATATTAACATCAACAATTAAAAAAAATGAAAAGATAAATTAATTTCAATGTTCAAATATGTTATACATTACGAAGCTCACGTACTTGATCTCAAAGACAGTGTTTGGAAATAAAGGTTTATTTTGTGGCTCGAAATGCCAATTCAATAGTTCAGTTTATTAATCTCTCGCCGTAGCGATTTGTAGGAAAAACACATGCAGAAGGGCTTAAAATATATTCTGTAGGCAACTTAATTTAACACATCGTTAATTCTGTTGATTAACAATTACAATATTGCAATTCTATTATTACTTCTAGTAGGAGAGAGGAAATTATTCTATTGCAATGGGGAGATTTCTTCTTCGTAATGGAGGCGATGTCGTTGATGTTATAGGCATTAGCAATGGATGTTTATTTTAGGTTCTATGCTGACATTGTAAGTATCAGTAAGAGCAGTCAACCATGCTCATCAAATGAGCATACGAAGATGGTAATGGCAGTTAGCAGTGTTTAACAGGGAGAATTAATCATACTCAAAAGAGTAGTATGTTAATGTCACTGTGGTAGTTATCATGTATAATCAACCATACTCCAAGGGGATTGTGGGAGTATTAGTAAGCTAGTCATACGCAAGAAGGATAAACCTTCGAGTGCGGAAGGACTTGATATTATGAGGTTATAGTCGATTATTTGTAGAACGGCAGTCTGCCCTTTACGATTATAGTTTTTGCGGACTGTAGAAGTGAACGAAAGTTCATTGCAATGATTGCGCTGAGAGAGCGTAACTCTATATGAAACATGGTTTGAGCGTCAGTGACTAGCTTGGACGAATAATTATATGGTGGCACCTTATGAACTACCGATACTGCGTACTGATGACTGCTTGGTTCGGCGAATTTAAGTGGTTATGAGTATTATGGTTTCACTGTTGAATTACTAACCTTTTAATGCAGATTTTGATAGAATTATGTGCTTGTGTATTGTAGGCTGTTTTCCAGACATGCGGCTGAGTTTAGTAGATGTGTGAGTAATAACTGATAACTTATTGATTGAGAAATACTGTGAGCAATAACAGATGAGTGGACGATTGGTAACAGTTTAGTAACAGACAATTGGTAACGATTGGTTACAGTGAGTCCCGGTTTGTGGCGAGCTGCTAAATATTCGCGTAGCAGCTTACGACGCTGGCAACAGCGCTTGGGCTTGTTTCTAGGCCGAAAATCTTGATGACATCAGAAAACTGAGCTCCAGAATATTCGAAAAGTACAGAAGGATATTGCCTTGGTATGTTTGAGAATATTCATCGATGTTGGTATTCGGAAATATTGTAGGACATTTGAAATCAAGGCTTAAACAATTTACGAATTAGCAGAATCAATGTTTACAACCATGAGCGTCCAAAAGCGTGTACTTTTCCCAACATTAAATCTTGAATAATGCTCCAATATCGAACAAATAGTTTCAAAATTATAAAAAGACCTTGATTGAATTAAAGAAGAACTAACAAGTAAAAAACAGAATAACTATATTTTTTATTAACTAAATTTTTTGAAAAATGTTAGAACTTCAAAACTGTAAAAATATCTATTATTAATAATATAAATTTAATTTTTTGCTTAAATATTCAAAAATTGAAATACAAAATATTCAATTATTTAAATGTAGGCTTGATATTATTTGGATTGTAAATTGATTAAGTTTGATACGTAATTGAAAATTTTTGAGAAGTAGTAAACACATTAATAGTGAAATTCAATTTTGAAATAACATATATCCATCTATTATTGTTGCTTATTTATAATTTAATCTGTTATCTATTAATATTGCTTTAAAAGTAAGATTGCTTCACAATTAAAATATGAATATTAACTTGATCCGTCACTTTATTGATTTTTATACTATCGATAGAGTAGCATATATATCTGTTCGAGAGTGAAAAGAAAATCTCTCGAATTATATTTACTAGAAAAACCTTCAACAGCTAATAAAAAGGGAATCATCGAACGGATACGAAAAACTAAGAAAGTCTCGCCAAGGTTGCATGAGACTGGAAAAGGTTTGTACATCTGAGAAATTGTAAACACCCATTTATTTCCTTTCGTATTAAGGACGTAGTAATTGTTTTGAATGCAATGAAGACCCTTGCGACTTACCATCAAAACCCGGCTAGCTTGTTTACAAGAGTATATTTTGAGGATTAAAATATTTCTAAACAGTTGAATGAAAACATTTCTTATAATCCGTTGCAACCCGAAACTCGGCACGCGCGACTCTCGACATTTGCGTCGCATGTGTGCCTTCAATGCCACAAGGGCATACGCATGCATTGTTGTCAAGTACAACAACCGTTGCTGCTTGCATAGGCCAAGCGAAGACGCTTGACCAAAAATCACCCCCACCACGTTAAGTCCAGGAGAGGGGCAAATCTTCCACTTCACGCATTGCTGCCAGAGATACTCCTTCGATATTCTCTTTGTCTAAGCTTAATTTCCTATTAAATGGGAAAAGGGTATGCATATTCATCATGCCGCCGAAAAGCGGCACACCCTGATTGGAAAACTAAGACCAGAAGCCCCTTGAATGGGGACTCATGGCAAGAGGCCTTAAAGATGGGAACAACACAGTGAAGAAAAGGCAGTTCGCGGGGGATTTTGACATAGAGTCTGCGTGGACAGCCAAGTATCTTTCTTCTTCAAAGGGCAACAAATCATTGAGAGTGGGAGTGAGCAGTCTATGGAAAGGTCAAGTTATAGAAATTAAGTGTCCAAGAAAGCCAGATCTAAAAATTCACTCAACACAGAAATAAGTGCTAGTAATTCGCCACAAGAATAGTTTATGCTGGTGAGTAAAGGAGTCACGCCTCACATGATTCGTGTCTCTCTCACCGCTGAATCAGATTGAATTACGATATCGCTGTAAGTACGTTGATACATATTTTCTCTTCAATTATTGTCAGCTGGCAATAGAACTGGCCATAAGACAATCATCAAGATTATCTCACACTCTCTACTCAAAAGTGTGCAGCAATTATATACCTGTGCAATTTACATCAATTAAATGATTTCAAGGCATCTTGTGTAGTGACACCTCCTGTATAAGAAGCCAATCAAGAAATCATATCTTCATATAAGATACAAGAAGATTCTACAACATCCATATGTAAATAGTGTAATAAATTGTATAATAAATATAATTAACCAACTCTCACGACTCTTGTACAGTCCCTACATCTCACCCCTTCCCGAGCGTCTGCTACCGCAGGCGGCAAACTAAGCTATTGAAACATTGGCAGTTCGAGTCAAGAATTACATCCCTACAATATTTCGAACAATATCTAATTACAATGTTGTGCATAATAAAATTCGAGAAGATTATAATTATGAAATAATATTGCCATAGATTTTAGTGAAGCAGTGAGAAATAATAATGATTGAAACCATACTTTAACAGAAGTGTTTAGTAAAATAGAATGAAACTGGACAAACAAAGTGTATAAGTGATAATTTGGATATTTCCTAAGAAATCCATTAACATTAATAATTTCTTTACTTTAGATTTAAAATTATTTATTCATATTTAATTTAAAAATAATATCCATTTGAATTATTATTCTTTGAATGATATTGTCGGGAAGAGAAATTATAAAAAAAATTGTACATCTACCAAAAACAATAATTGAATATTAAATTACTTCAATAAAAAACTCAAATGAGGTACACAAAGATTTTTGCATAATTTATATTTCAAATGTCATTTTTATTTAATATTTTAATGTAACAATATCATTTATTTTAAACTGGCAGAAAATTTTATTATCTAATTTAAGATAAATATATAAAAGATAAGTGATTCGTAAATGATCAGTGAACTATTATTGGGAAATCAAGATCAATTAAATAATATTATTTCAGAAATTATTAAATATAGAAATCATTCACGATCTATTATTTACATAATAATACATAATATACGATATTTGTATTTCTACAAATTCTGTGTATAAATAATTTTTAAAATAGTAATAAAACAATTAAAATTAAATCATAATATATGATATTTATATATAGATGTATTTATGTAGTTTGCAGATATAGTAAATCTTCATTTTTTAAGCTTGCTAGAAATGATTTTAGATTGTAGATGTCCAGTACTAAATAAGTTATTACCAATATGGAATTTAATCATATTTTCTGATAATTTTCAAGTAAGTAAACATATTATAGTGAATATCGAATTTTTATAATGATACCCACGTAAACATGTTTTTTTGCAGTTACCAAGACATTTATATATACGTTTACAACTTTCTCGTAATACATTGAATTTAGAAAACAATAATGGCAATCAAGAAGAATTTATTTTGCCTTTACAGCAATGGCTACGAAGATTACAATTTAAAATGGGTTTAATCGAATTACAATCCTCCAGCACAGCATTATTTTACTCGTTATAAAAATTATATAAATTCTATAAATCATATATGTATAATTTTTATTGTATTATAAATTGTTTTAATATAATAATAAAAATAAAGGTTAATTAGTACATATTATCAATTAGTTAATATCAATTAGTCAAATCTTTAATTATCAACGATTACATTATTATATGCTATATGACTTTTAATTATCTATAACTTCAAATAGTTAAATAAATCAGTTATTTTAACGACTTGATAAAAATTTATAATTATGTTTGAATTTAGAATTAATTTTTGATAAATACATATTAATTTATATATAGTTTTTAATATTATTCAATAAAGATCATGTAACTGCTGTTCTGTATTTATAAATTTTTAGTTAATAATATAGTCAGGACGTAATTACGTACTCATATAAAGATTGTGTATTAAAAATATAAACAATAAACTACATTACAAATAACTAATTAAAAAAGTGAATAGAGATAAAAAAAAGGCTAATAATAAATCAACGTTAATTTAGTAACGGAAAATAATTGTCTTCGAGATTGCGAGAACCTTTTCCAATGCCATAAAACATCTGGCAAAACAACATCATTAAATAGTTGTTCGACTTCTGAAAAGTCCTAGCCATAAAACATCTGGCAGTAGTGTCATTAAATATCTGGTACAACAAGTCGTTAAGACTTGGGAAAATCCCTTTCATTAGGCAGCTGGAAAGAATCGCTATATCCAAAAATCTAAAACCTAATGGTATGTACTGCCCCCCCCCTTGTTTTCAAGGCTGTCATACGATCGCCAGAGGTGAGTCGTGGGCAACGAGATCGAGAGCCCTTCTTGGCGTGAAGACCAGGAGAAGACTAAGCTTCGCAATTGAAGGCGAAGCCGCTGACGAGAGGCGAGAGGCGCTGCCCTCGCTCTATAAGTCGCAAGCTCTTTGATTGGACACAAAAAAGGAGATGGGATTCCAAGTGGACACGATGGTCAGTGAATATATTTAAGAGAGACAATCATAAGATTTCAACACTTTCGTTGAAGTGCTCAAAGAAAAAGAAAGTGGAAAATTTCCCTTATCGGAGTCTGAAGACAAGTACCAGCTGAAGTCCTCATTGAAGAAGGAAGTGGCAAAGTCCCTCAACTGGGTCTAAGATTAGTCTTTGTTTGTAGTATCATCTACTTTAGGTGTCATAGCCATCATCTCCAATTCAAGGTTCTCCAGGAGCCAGGTCGCCGAGCACACATAAAGGGTTGATGCCATCTCACAGACACACATACACACAAAAATATCTTACTTAATTCTACTATCTGTACTCAAGGAGAAGCTCAGTAGTGCCCATGCGTACGAAGACACGTCTGTAAGCCAACGCGCCATTCAGCGCCCACCTTGCTGATCTAACCTCTCTCATAGCTCGAGTCCTATACTCACGAGACCAATTTTCGCGCCATTTGCGCCCACCTTGCTGATCCTAACCTCGAAAACGCATGTACCCCATACACACGTAGCACGTGTTGACAAGCCAATCTTCGCGCCATTCAGCACTCATAGCTCTACTCAAAGAAATGGTAAGAGTTTTACAACCTCTCACGTCTGGTTAAAGTGCGCTTGTTAAAGCCAAGTGTGATCTGCCCAGTTCTCGCTCAATTAAGTGTAACTGCCGCTCAGTATTTCAGTATACTGTGAAGACAACACGTGGCCTTATATTCAGTATTAAAGTTAATAATACACGTGTGCATTAATGAAGGAAAATCAGCAGATTTAGTGCTGATTATAGTGAAGTCAATTGGAATAGTAATCAAAGGGGACATTAATTACGCAGCACTAATACACCTTTCCTGCAGCTCACAAGGTATATCTTTTTATATTAATAAATTAGTTAATCACACCTCTCACAAAAATAAGTCGGGCAAACTTACGCTCTTTCGAATTAACACTTCGAAACCGTACAGGCCCGCTAGCAGAGATAGAGTACACTTACGCTCTCTCGAACTAACACTTCGACATCGTACAGGCCCGCTAGCAGAAATAGTGCATACTCTCTCGAACTACCTATTCCGGATAAATACCAACTTCCGGAAGTGCAGAAACAAAACAAGCAATTGAAGCCGCAGCATGATTACGAGACCCCCGCATGGCGAGCGGTTCCCTCTTGGAAAATGGCATGTAATCAACAAGATGTCATCACCGCAATAAGAGCAAATTAAAAGAAGATTTCCCAGCTTACGCTCGACGATTGCTACACCAAAATCAAAAGATGGTCTCTTCAACAGGACACGCTTACGTCAAGAAAGAAAGAACGTCGATTCAATTGGGAAAAAACATATTCAAGCAAAAGGCTATGGCAGCACAAGCTCAATGGGACGAGATGATACAATCTAACCAACCTGACCGACCTCTATTTGCCACGTTGGCTCAACATAAGGAGCACCTCACACAGAGAACTACATGGATTCTCTGATGCATAAAAATTGGCAACGTCGGTAGTCATGTACGTATCAGTGCACGACCAAAATAAAATAATGGCTATCTTAATGTGTTCCAAGACAAAGGAGACACCCATCATGCCAAGGAGAATCCCAAGACCAGAGCTTATTGCAGCGTTACTCATACGAGTTTCATATAGTACGACCACGCCACTGTGAAAATCGACGTCAAGGCAATCCATTGCTAGAATGATTTACAGTAATCGGCAAACGGTAAACGGTACAGTTATACTACACTCCACATAACAAAGGAAGCTTTAAGAAGGAGCAAGGATCCCAAGGAAAATGGCAACACCCTTGAAGACAGATTCTTGAGAACTCTCACAAGGATCAAGTCTCGCACATCATAAAAAAAGGTATGAAAAGCAGACTCACTTAAATTCAAGACATATTTTTTCCAGACAATTAATGAACCTGGCAAGCTACCAATCCCGAAAGGTTAAATTTAATTACCAACAAAATTGGTGATGGCGGGCGGAATGTTCGGGATTAATGCAGTTTCCACGAATTTAAGACAAGTAGGTCACACGCGCTGTACGGCGCACGGCACGCGCGCTCGGACCGGGATGCGCACTCGGGCGAGTCTTTATAAACACAACTCGACAAGCCCGAGCAAGTTTTATGACATGAAATTCAATATACTGTATGATTACACGAAGCAAGAACGCTTACGAAAATTCTAGAAACTTCGCTTTCTAACGCCACAAAGAAGTTTTCGGCATAGCGATAAGCGGTGGCACTGTTGCCGGCGTTGCAGCCCGCTCCATGTATATTTAAGGACAGCTCGCCATGTGGCGATGCTCATTGTAATCCTACTTCGCGCTCACTTAACTATAATTGCCACTCAGTGTTTTAGTATATACTGCGACGACGACACGCGGTCATAAATTCGGCAGCCTAGTAAATAATATATGTGTGCATTATTAAAAGGAAATCTAAATCGAAGGCTTATCAATAATTATTCTTGTATGTGACTAGTCTTTCTACTGCCTCCATAAATAATTAAAGACATAATTAATTATTCAATAAATTCCATTAAACATTTTACACCATATCAAGCATAGTTATTTATACATCAATCATACTTGATTCAAACCCCATCTTCTCATGCTACCTCATGAGCATGATTGACTACAGCGGCTGATATTTACAACATCAGCTTAACCTCAACTTCAACATACACAGTCATATCCAGAGAATCAACGAAAATCAAGACTACGAGGACACACCCTCATTACTACAATAGAATAAATTTTTCTCAACAGCATTGCAATATTATTTGTCTGGGATCAGACTGAAAGTCTCCCTGCGATGGTGGATGGAGGCTTGCTGGCAAGTGGAAGGGGCAATGCAATAATTCAATACTGCCTTTAGAGTGTAGTGTCTTTCCCTTTATTGAATATAATAAATATAATAAATAGTCAGTGATCCATGGATGTCGAATGTATGATACAATGAATAGATGAGAGTTTCTTCAATTAATATTAGTGACAATAATTCTGTAAGTGTATTCTTAATAGCCTGGAGCTTGATTCTCCTTGTCATTATGAATTCGTAGTAGTAGTGGGAGACTCGTGCTGGTAGGGGCAGCGAGTTGGAGCCGTCTTAGCCGCTGGCGTAGGATGAGCGCTGTAGTGGTCTGGTGGTGGGAGGATGTCCGTGTGACGTCACTGCTTTACGGAGTGGGAGATTCACTCGAACCGTATACTGTAATATCGATAGTTTGCGGTATTGGTGTATGTTAGTAGTGTTGCTGCTTACGTAGTTGACAGAAGCCGTGTATTGGTAAGCCGTAAGAACGTGTGCAATAGCGTAGCTTACGTACGGGCTGGAGTCGATCTCAGTCGTATTAGTAGGACGTAAAAGCGTGTATAATAGCCTAGCTTACGTGCGTGTTGGAGTCGATCTCAGTAGTGGCGATCTTGTCGTAATAAATACTTGATTGAACTAGTAAGAGAGCAGTAATAATGAACGAACGTGGTGCGTTGCTTATGGAGATGTGGGTGCCGGTATAGTTGTGGCATCGCTATTAGTTCTTTAGGTTGCTTGATGCTTGCTGTGGCTTCATAATGACGATTGCAAGTTGGATAGTTTCTTAGATTATTAGATGTTAGATAATTTCTTATAATTTAGGCTTCATATTTTATTTTACATAACTTTTTAAAAATATTTCCTTAAAATATATACATGATAATCACAATTTATATATCTTTTTATTTAAAAATTCAAGCTGTAAATAAACTGAAAAAGTCAATTCTGATGTCATATTATTTTACGTTTTCGATAAATTTAGATTTTTCATTCCATGAAATATACACGCATAATTTGGCTATGGTAAACATTGTTGATATGGTCAGATAGATTCCTACAAGGATAGCAAAATTATTTTATATTGAAGTATTACTTTTATTCGATTTTATCTTATTTGATTTTTTAATTTAAATAATTGAATAATATTTTAATCAATATTTTTTCCATTAGCTTTTTAATTTACTATTATTACCATTATCACTATTATTATTATTAT